TTGTGATGTTGTGTTATTGTTGTGTTGTGTTGAGTTGTGTAGTCTTGTGATGTTGTGTTGAGTTGTGTAGGTCTTGTAATGTTGTGTTGAGTTGTGTAGTCTTGTGATGTTGTGTTATTGTTGTGTTGAGTTGTGTAGTCTTGTGATGTATTGTGGTTCTCTCCAATGACAGGTGCAGGTGAAACTGTTCCCACCGGAACAGGAAGTGAGCTGCTAAGCAAAGTGGGACACATGCACCCCTCATTCACGCGCAAGTACACAGCGTGACACGCGCGGGTTGTGCACGCGGCCAGTTTTGCTCAGCGGCACTCCGACAGGAGCTAACGGAGGGTTAGCGGTGAGCAGCTAGCAGCCTGTTAGCGGCTGTGGTCTCCGGTACTTCCCGGAGCTCCAGCCGGCCTCAGCCTCCTCCGGCCCCGCAGGGAGCGGTGTGGACGGAGGAGCGGCCCGAGCTGCGCTGGGGACGCGGCTAAGCTAAAACTCGCGTCCACCCTGAGTTGGTGACGTATTCCCGCTAACCCCGCTCGGGGGAGACGGGCCGGGGTGAAAATAAACGCTCTTCGCTCCGATAAAACGCAGAATAACAAACGGTCCTGGTTGTGTTCGGAGGCGGCGGCAGCTGCTGCGTTCAGACAGAAGATAAGATGAAGACTTACAGTCTGTCCGCTCCACTCCCCACGGCGGCCATTTTTATTTAAATAAATAATTTAATATTAAAAAAAGAAAAAACAAAACAAAAAAAACTCTCTGCTGCACACCGCCCCTCCGTCACAACTCAAATACCGCGAGACCTCACATCATGCAGCGCGCAGGGCGGCGTAGTCCCGCGAGATCTAAACTGAATGACGTCAAGCTGAGGCGTTCAATGACGGCTCAGAAAAGTGTAACTTTATAACCCTGCGCTCTTATTTCAGGTGTTTTTTAGTCAGGGGAAAAAAGGAAATAATAAAATAAAGTTTAGTGTTTTTTATTGAAATATTAGATTTATTTAAAATTTAAACAGCTGACGTTTTAAATTTCAGACAGTATTATTTTTAGTGATTTCAGTGAAACAATATAACAGCTACAAAAAAAATAAAATAAAATAAAAAAAGCTGCAAAATCTGAACAACTTTACCAAGTAAAACAAGACAGACCTCTGTGGTAAACGTCACATGGCAACATGGCGACCTGTTATCCAGCTGTAAACATGTCTTTATTTTAATTCACACAGTCAGGTGTGTTTGTTTTCAGGCCCACAGCTGTTCATGAAGAATGGAGGAAGCTTGGTCTTGTTTTGATGTTGAACTTTAAATATGGTGACATGTCCTGATAAAATGAGTTGTTTCTGTATAATTTAAGGTTTTCTGTCAAACTATGTAAAATAAAATCATACAGGATGAGTTCCAGCAGGGAATCCTGTCAGACTCTGCAGGAACTGGTGTCGTTCTGTAAGTCATGTTGTGAACAGACTGGTGTAACTGGGAGATAATCTGTCAGATTACACCAGTGTGTTGAGCACGTGTCCCTGATGGTGCAACAGCGTTCACCACAGATCAGACCAGGTGTGTGATTCACAGCTGTGAGCAACCAGTGCTGCCAAGTCCTGATCCAGAAAAGTTCTGTTGTCTTTAAGTCGGGCCGGTTTGGGTCAGGTTCTACAGTTCTACCCTGCAGCTCTGGTTCTGATTCAGACTGGGTCCAACCCTTCCACACTGGTTCAGATCCTCCTACAGGACCAGAGCCTGGAGGAACCAGAACCACAGTCCATCACAGGACAGAACCCAGCTGTGTCCCACTTCAGCCAGCTGTTCAGGTGGTTCTGTGGTTCTGTAAGACCTGGGACAGTTCTGGTTCTGAGTCCGGTCATGGTGTCCTGGTTGTGTAAAGAATGAGGACGGCCTCTTCTGGACTGGAACCAGTTCTGACTGGAACAGGACCAGTCTTTGTGGTGTGGAGTCAGTTTGATTCCTCATCCCAGCTGTCCCAGTTGTGTCCTTGGGCAAGGCACTTCAGCCACCTGCCCACTGATGGTGGTCAGAGGGTCCGGTGCCCCCCCCCGGCTGCGGCCAAATGTAAGAATATAATTCATGAAATACAAATACTTCTGAAGTACAGTCCTTTGATTTGAATGATTCTGTCCTGCTGGAGTGTGACATGATTTGTTTGTGTACAAACTAATACACTATCAGAGTTTTATATATTTATACTTCTCATTCAACCACAGTTAAATTCACTCTATCTAGGAGGCTCAGTTTATAGCAGGTAAAATAAGTATTGAACACGTCACCATTTTTCTCAGTAAATATATTACTAGAGGTGCTAATG